TCTGCAGAGCGGCACGGCCACCGGCGTCTCAGGGAGCCAGGGTCTTATTTTTATTTATTTATTTTTCGTCAGCCACCAGCGTTAAATCCTCAAACTGGAGTGATTCCTGCTGCCTGGTGGCCTCCCCGCCCCAGGAGTGCCGGCAGAGGGCAGGGTGGTCACGCCGGAGCCTTTTAGAGTGGGGGGGAACCTTCCTCCCCCCCCCCCCCCCCTCTCCCCCCCCCCCCCCCCCAAACGCTTCCCTCGCTCCTAAAAAGCGTATTAAAGCATAGAAACAGCCGGTGTTAAGTTGTTATGAACTTACCTGTAGAAACCGGATGGATAAAATGAAGTAACAGACTACCACTGCGAGGCTGCATAGGGATTTTTGATTTTTTTTTTTTAATGTAACTTGGAAAATGGAAAGTCAAGGCTGTTGAACAGCATCATAACGGCACTCCTGGGGACTCGGGGGCTCTGTCTGCAATGGAGACATGTCACATGCGCTTCACCGACCTCATCTACCACCGCCCAGGTGGTCTTCACCTGCAGGCAGGTGTTTAAGAAGAATACCTGTCTGCTCTGCACTCGTGAGACCCCACCTGGAGTACTGTGTCCAGCTCTGGAGTCCTCAGCACAGGAAGGACATGGACCTGTTGGAACGGGTCCAGCAGAGGGCCAAGAAGATGCTCAGAGGGATGGAGCACCTCCCCTATGAGGACAGGCTGAGAGAGCTGGGGTTGTTCAGCCTGGAGAAGAGAAGGCTCTGGGGAGACCTCAGAGCAGTCTTCCAATATCTGAAGGGGCTACAGGAGAGCTGGGGAGGGGCTCTTTCTTAGGGAGTGCAGTGACAGGACAAGGGGTAACAGTTTTAAATTGGAAGAGGGGAGATTTAGATTAGATATTAGGAATAAATTCTTTCCTGTGAGGATGGTGAGGCACTGGAACAGGTTGCCCAGAGAAGCTGTGGATGCTCCATCCCTGGAAGTGTTTAAGGTCAGGCTGGATGGGGCTTTGAGCAACCTGCTCTAGGGAGGTGTCCTTGCCCATGGCAGGGGGGGGATTGAAATTCGATGATCTTTAAGGTCCCTTTCAGCTCTAACCATTCTATGATTCAAAGAATGATCATGGGGGGGGGTTGTTTTTGCTTTCTGAAGTGGCCATCTGTTTAAAGAAACCCAGTAGAGATAGACACCTTCCTCTTCCTACTATGCAGATCAAGGCAGCACCTTTCAGGCCCCCCTTTTTTTTTTTTAGATGAGATGGGAATGAGATGGCACAGGCTGCCCAGGGAGGTTGTGGAGTCCCCTTCTTTGGAGATTTTCAAGACCCGCCTGGATGCTCCTGAGTAACATGCTCTGACAAGCTCTGGGTGGTCCTGCTTTAGCAGGGGAGTTGGACTAGATGATCTCTATGGTCCCTTCCAACTCTAAAAATTCAGTGAAATTCAGAGTAGCTGTAAGCTGCTAAGTACGGTATTTCCTGCAGGTCGCTTTTCATGCACCTGATTTTGAAATCCTTTTAACTTGAGTTTCAAGCTTTTGTTACATCGAAGTTCCTGCCTGTTTAGCACTACGCTTCTGTTAGAGGTTGCTGTGCCCACAACAGACCGACCTCAACAAAACACTTGCTTGAACAAGCTCAACAAGGGATGTTGTCTACCTTGACTTCAGCAAGGCTTTTGACACAGTCTCCGACAGCATCCTGGTAGGTAACCTTAGGAGGTGTGGGTTAGATGAATGGACAGTGAGGTGGACTGAAAACTGGCTGAAAGACAGAGCTCAGAGGGTTGTGATTAGTAGCACAGACTCTAGTTGGAGGTCTGTAACAAGTGGTGTTCCTCAGGGGTCAGTACTGGGTCCAATCCTCTTCAATATATTCATCAATGACCTGGATGAAGGGATGGAATGTACCCTCAGCAAGTTTGCTGATGACACAAAACTGGGAGGGGTGGCTGACACACCAGAAAGCTGTGCCACCATCCAGTGAGACGTATTAAATCTCTTTCAGAGTTTCTTAGGTAATTGTTACGATAGTCAAAATACGTACTTGTTAAGTAACAATGGGTTAAAAGCATCTGTATTTTGCTTCCTCACATTGTGAAAATTGCATGATTTATCAATAATAATATTTCAGCTACATAATTCAGTTCAGTACTTTCTTATAGTCCAGGAATAACCCAAGCAGGGAGCTGAGCTGGGATTCAACTTTCATTTACAGAGAAGTGACATTAGAAAATCTGGCATATATAATAGATCTAGATGGGGTTTGTCTAGGAAGAATTTTTTAACAAGTCTGTGCATAATTAAAACCTGATTAATTTTTTTTGTTGTTTTCTGTTCACGTGAAAGGCAAATCTTTCATTCACAAGGCTGATATGGTCCTCAAGCAAGTATCTTCAATATCTTTGTCCTTCTTCATAGGCATGTATCTAACACAGTCCGAGAGTCTATCAGTAATCACTATCGGTATCACTTCCATCCCTGGAGATGTTCAAGGCCAGGCTGGATGGGGCTTTGAGCAACCTGGTCTGATGTAAAGAGTCCCTGCCCACGGCAGGGGGTTGGAACTCAGAGATCTTTAAGGTCCCTTCCAGTTCTGACCATTCTGTGATTCTAATGTTTACTGCATTAACCTGTCCAGGCAATCTAGAGATTTATATGATAGCAAAGCTTTTCCTAATCTTTACCGAATCTTCTTTTCTGCAATGTAAGTCCATTAATTCCTGCCTTATCTGGGCCATAAGGATGATCAGGGGGATGGAGCACCTCTGCTACGAGGACAGGCTGAGGGAGCTGGGGTTGTTCAGCCTGGAGAAGAGGAGGCTCCGGGGAGACCTCATAGCAGCCTTCCAGTACCTGAAGGGAGCTACAGGAAGGCTGGGGAGAGCCTGTTTAGAAAGGCCTGTAGTGACAGGACGAGGGGCAATGGCTTCAAGCTGGAGGGGAACAGATTTAGACTGGAGATTAGGAGAGGGTTCTTTGCTGTGAGGGTGGTGGAGCACTGGAACAGGTTGCCCAGGGAGGTGGTTGAGGCCCCATCCCTGGAGATATTCAAGGAGAGGCTCGATGAGGCCCTGGGCAACCTGGTCTAGTTGGGGGTGTCCCTGCTGACTGCGGGGGGGTCGGACTAGATGGCCTTTGGAGGTCCCTTCCGGCCTGGACAATTCTATGATTCTATGATTATCTGAAACAGATCTAGATAATAGATTATTTCCTATCTTTCTTCAGCAGACATATGCATATTTGAAAACAGGCACTATCTCAACTCGCGGACATTTCCTTTTCAGGATCACACCCACTAGTTCAGTCTTTCTCCTAGTTCATATCTTCCAGACTTCTGATCATCACCATTATTCTCCTGTGGACTGCTTATAATGTAGTATTCAGAATTAAGCAGAATATGAGTGAAGCAGAAGGATTACTACTTCACATACCTTGAAGGTCGTACTCTCATTTATACATCTGTGTATAGTTTTCTTGCACAATATTGACATAATTCAACCAGTGGTTCACTACCACCTACGATTTGTTTCTGCAAGAGCTGTTGCATAGCCAGATAACTTCCAACCTCTGTCTTTGCCTCTGGCTATATCTGCCCAAAAATGGTATCTTCCATTTATTCCTACAGCAGCCAGATCTATCCCCACCTTAAAATATTTTCATGTAAACGGCTTTCTCCTAGTTTACTTACATGGAAGCCACGTGAGACATTGTCAAGGGTTTTACTAAGCTTAAGATACGTGGTATCTACTCCATCTTCCTCTAGCCACAGGCCTAGTTTTGTAGATTGAAATTACGCTGATTTGACTTGTTCTAGGTAAGTTATTATCAACTGCTATTCATAGAATCATAGAATAGTTTGGGTTGGAAGTGACCATTTAAAGGTCATCTGGACCCCCTCTGCAATGCACAGGGACATCTTCAGCTAAATCAGGTTGCTTACAGCCCTGTCCAACATGACCTGGATTGTTTCCAGGAATGGGGCATCTACCACCTCTCTGGGTGACCTGTTCCAGTGTTTCACTACCCTCATTGTATTTAAAGGTCATCTGGACCCCCTCTGCAATGCACAGGGACATCTTCAGCTAAATCAGGTTGCTTACAGCCCTGTCCAACATGACCTGGATTGTTTCCAGGAATGGGGCATCTACCACCTCTCTGGGTGACCTGTTCCAGTGTTTCACTACCCTCATTGTAAAACATTTCTTCCTTATATCTAGTATAAATCTTACCTCTTTTAGTTTAAAACCATTACCCCTTGTTCTGTCGCTACAGGCAATACTAAAAAGTCTGTCCTGAACCTTCTTATGCTCCTTAAAGGATATAAGTACTGGAAGGCTGCAATAAGGAGTCTACTGGGCTACAGGCAATACTAAAAAGTCTGTCCTGAACCTTCTTATGCTCCTTTTATCCTTTAAGTACTGGAAGGCTGCAATAAGGAGTCCCCAGAGCCTTCTCTTCTCCAGGCTGAGCTACCCCAATTTCTCTCTGTCCTCGCAGGAGGGGTGC